TTTACCATAGCGAGAAGGGCCAGATGAGATCGACATTTCTTTTCCTTGTTTTCCGAATTCCCACTAACCTGCTCATTTCTACCCTTTCGTTCTCCTATCAACCTGTGCTAACATGGAGAGGGAAATCAAAAATGGACCAAATAACTGAATAGTGCCTGATTATCTCTTTATCCGCATAAGTCATCCTGCCGTAGTTGCTTGGTTGCTCATGCATCTTCGCAAAAGTTGACACTTGAAAGTCGGTGAAACGTCATGGCACAGTTACTGCGCAGGATCGGAAAAAGCACGGAAATGCAGTAGATTTATTAGAAACCTGTTAACATCTCTACTACTTCATAATTAGCAAAAGGTAAGTGCTGCACTATGAAACCCTTTTATGAGTTTCACTCAGTAACAAGGCTAAAGGGTCTGATTTTAGCAGCAGCGTAAGAAGCTGGAGCGCTCTATCTAAGAAATTTCTGATGAGTTCATATTTATTGAATTTCACGTGGATGTAAGGCTCTTTCCATGACATCCCAGCTTTTTCCAAGTGGAAAAAAGCTTATCATTGGAGATATGACATCATAAGGCAACGTCCAGCGCTGTCCGTCCTTACATTGCTTGAGAAATTGATGATATTCACTTGAAAATTATATCTGCCTGTTACGACTTTTTGTCCTTGACTGTATGGTTTTTTTCGTCATCCCCGCGAAAAATTCCGCTAGCTCTGTCGCTGACATGTAAAAGAATGCGTTTGATAAAACTTTCTCAGCTGTGCTGTGTGTTTCTCACTGTGGTTACGACCTCCACCGTGGAAAAACGCATATAAACACGGACAAGGCGTGCAAAGTTGCTTGCAATAAAAAAGTACATTCCGACGGTCTGCCGCAAAGGCTAATACTCGTTTAGCGAAATTTTACGAACATCGTAAAGTCGACCGCGCACGCATTGACTTGATCGAATTCATTTCGAAGTTCACGTTTTGCTGTCACGTGGGAGAGGAACAAGGCGATTATAAGGGATTTTCCCAGAATACTAGCTTGCAAGCTTGTTTGAATGTCCATTGAACTTCCATTTCTGTGACTGTGCTATACGCAAACTTGAACGGATCAACGGTGTTAGGCTGTTGCTAGTTGTTCATGCTGGCCCGTTCCAGATCCGTTCCAGCGTCGTGTTAGCACTGTGCGGGAAACTAATAAGAAAAGGATGAAATCTTTGCATGGATAGCATGGACAGTTTGGGTAGGGCGGTATACATAAAGCATATACATAGCAGCAAATTTACATATCGGAATTGGCAAAAAGTCAATTCTAATTCTTAAGATAATAGATTTAATTTTGATAAGAAGTAAGTTAGCAGTATTTAACAGAACTCCTCTTTATCAACAAATCATGCGGACTACAGCACTAGATGCTCGACTCATTTTGTGATGCCCTCCTATTTTTCTAGAACCAACGCTTATTACAATGCGGCTTATCAGCTTCTTCTTCGGCAATTCTGCGTGTCTTTGTAGATCAGAGCTCAGAGAGAAGCAACCGTATGATCAACAGACGTGTTAGCGAATAGTACCAAAAATTTTCTTGAAAGCTCAGACGTTGGCCCAGTGCAGGCTCTCTGAGGAAGATACTGGTGTACATCCGCAAGTTTTCATAACCAAAGCCTGAAGTTGACAAACAGTATCGGAACTAAAGTCGCTCGATTATCGATGAATCCTGGCATGAGATAGTTATTCGTATACGTATTTCATAACCAAGATCGTTTACACGCTTTATTCGGACAGGCTACGTTTCGGACCTTCACCTTCGTCGGAGACTGGAAGATCGCACACACTAGTGGTTTGTTTCCTCAAATACATCGTTCAAGTTAAAGCTACACTCAGCATTAGGTCAGTCCGAAAGACATGACGGAAACCATTCCCAATGCTCACCTCGGCAATCTTCGAATCAAGGTTGAGCATTGCACAGTAGTAGTAGCGGAGACCCTTTTAATTGTCTTATAAAGGTGATTCTAATCTTAGCGTGGGCCAAATCCGCAAAGGGAGTGATATGAGATTAGATCACTATCCATGGCAACGCCCTCTTCTTGCGTTTATGGCAGGAGCTTTTGATGTTATCAAAATGCCTCCAGCGTTTTATGAGGAACTACTTCGGGTTCACGCGTTAAGATGGTGATAGCTGTACTGAACTGTAAAGAAATTAAATATTATGAATTATAAAGTATTGCTAATTATGGTTCATTAGCTAACATATAGATTTGACAAAGACAAAGCTGAGGCATTTGCCGAATTTTTTGAGGACATTCTCAAAAAACTCACGAATGCTAAAATCCAATGTCCATAAGATTGCGAAAACGGATTTTTTTCAGATATCACTGGTGGCCAGGGCCCAGCATGAGGTGGCATATGAGAAATTTGGAAACGAAGTCTCCTTTGACACTGCAGAAAACTACGAGATATCTTTTATAAGATCTGTAGTGTCTGTAAGCTCTTCTAATAAAATGGGGAAAAAGTGGATTGAAGTGAGGAAAAGACAAAAGTAAATTAAAAATTAAAAAGCAAAATGAAGAAAGGGCTGTTTTTTATGAAGAGCGTAACAAAGTATAGACAACGAAACTTGGGTTAAATGGGTACCGATAGTTAGAGCTTGATCTAAAGAATTGATTCATGTAAAAAAAATTTTGGGAATTTATGTGAGGAAGGTGGAGAATTATGAAGATTTAAGACTTTTTCTGGCCCCGCGCAACCTCAGGGTGCTCCCAGGTTGTGAGGGAGCAACCTAAAATCAAATCACTTGCAACTCCTCTAGTTCATATAATTTTTCAAGAATTTTCGTACTTTGCTTTCTTCATTTGTCGCGGACGTACACACCAAGTTTGGTGACTCAATATTGCTTACTTGGTGCGAACAAACCGATTTTTTATATTTTTGTGGTCTTTGACACGTCGAAAACGTGTGCACGCAGGTTTATGCATTAGTCGTGTTTGTAACGTGTTATTTTACCTGTAAGTGGTAATCACCAGGGTAAAGCGGGGGTGTGGCACACGACCGTTGGATACGACCCCCCCCCCCCCCACACACACACACCAAATCATAACAACATTAGAACTATTAGTTCTGAGATCGAGTGAAACTGAGATCTTAGACGTGCTCAGTTCTAGGGGCGGACGGCGCGTTTGGAGTTCCACAAACAATTATTCGTTGAATCAGCATGAAGTATGTGAAGACAAGCTGAAATAATTCCCTTTTAGGGTTTTCTCAGTTGTGAAATGGGACCTACCACTATCAATTATGAGTAAGGCAAAAAGAGCATTTCGGTCCTCTGGTAGAATTACGTCGCTCATGTTGACATTGGAGCTGGCGTATTTGTTTGAATCGATCACCATGTTTTTTGAAAACGCAATAAAGCTGAAATAAAGTTATTGAAATTGTGCTATCAATAATAAATAATTAGCAAAGGATATGATAACGTTAAACGTGCAAAAACGACTTTCAACAATTTGCTAGAAATCTTTTTCATAAAATGCGGACAGTACAGAAAGGAACTGCGATATAAGCATGCACCGTGAATAAAAGTAGAAGATAGATGAGATATGATAGAATAGATAACAAATGATGATAACAGATGACAATGATGACAATAGATGACGTGAGCTACGTTTTACAGGTAATATAGGTTCGTCACATTAGAGAACAAATATTCCACTCTGAGTTTTGATTGAAATTTTCCATATGGATCAGCAAAACTTTTAAAAAGACATTACTACAAGGTATTACTACATTACTATATTATTGCATATTACTACTATATTATAGGCCGTCCGCGCAGGGCGCGGAGAGTGCGCAAGGTACGCGATTTCCACATCCCCTTCTGCGAGAGCATATGCAAAGCGATTTATAGATTCGGACAGTTCGTTTGGATTTTGTAGTCCTGGATTTGAAGAAATGGGTGAAAAGCAAAAACAAAACTGCAGACTAGGCTCAAGGTGAAGTTAAAACTTCTTCTCTGCAAGAAGTTTCTCTCATTCTACAAATTCTTGAGTGGAGGTACCTTCATTGAGACATTTCCTAATATCTACCACTTATTTCATCATTTCTTTACACTGCTGATTCCGCGTAAATGTGATCTCAACAAAATCATCAATAAGCAGTTGCTTCAATTATCGCAGAGCACCTAAGAAGCACAATGAGTTCTTCATTCATCGGAAGATATTTGCAAGCGTAAATTGGCGTTTACACACGAAAGAGCAACTATGGACACAGACGTGAAAAAAACCTGAGTAAGTGAGTTGATAGGAACAGGTGACCAACTTTCTCCGCAAAAAGTGAAAGCGATAAAGCAGGCATAGGCAACACATTACATATGTATGGCTTTGTAGTCTCGAGCAGTAGCCCATAGAAAGGAATCTGATGTTTCACTGAATGTCCCTCACTATCAGCACGTGCGTCCAGCGACTCTTGAATAGATAATTTGAATTAATCAAAAAGGATAGTAACAGCATACCCGCATGGTACTGTGCAATGGAGGAGTTTGGATGTATCTGACTAAATGGTTTCGTTCGTGTATGAACAAAGAGCTCTTGTCCATGCTGTAATTAGAGAAAGGCGATGGGGCACAAAACTCAAAGCACAAAACAACAAGGTGGTAAACTACTCGATATAATCAATATAAGGTAACTGGGAATATGTTGGTATAAAAGTCCCAAAAAATATGCTGAAGTAAATGTCGGAAATGAATATTCATGCTCCTTCATTCAAATTTTATTCATACACGCTAACCTGATACTTATTCATTGGATCGGGAACGGTGTACTGTGGATATTTATCAGCGGCGATTACGAGTCGGATGAGCTCAAACAGGATAAGCTCAGAAAAATACTGGAAAAGGCTAGAAAACGATCGCACACCTCTGCATCTTTCCTTCGAAAATTGTGAGTGCGACGAATTAACTCCACATCTCGTTGTTTATAACTCAACAGAAACTCAACCGTCTTCACATCAGCTTTCAGAGGATCTTACTCGTTTTCTAGAACGATGCAAATGCACATGTTATACGAAAGGAGGAATCACTGCCTAGATCTTCTTCTTCTTTCTCGTTCAAGATAGAGTTGAAATGTTTATCAGCTCGTAAGACGTTACGCGTCTTTTCCATATTTCTAAACCGAGAGATTTCTCGCTCGCAATGTATCTTATTCGAACTTCTCTTACCTAGCTTCGCGCTTCATGTCTAGTAACTTCTTTTTGTCACCCTGATCGATTCGACGCTGTCGAGAATCATCTTGTCCGAGTTCATAAGGATCAGGTTTGTCGATCATTCCAGCATCTTCAAGAATTTGTCTAAAAATCCTTAGCATCAGGCGCAGCATACGCTGAAAGTATGAACAACAAGCCTTTACTAAGCGCGTAACTTGCTGATTTCCTACATTCTATGTTCGTCAATACCGTTTTCCAGAGCCCATCGTCGTACTTTGACTCCCAAAGACTTTTGCAACACCCACTCCCTAAATTCTCGCATAGAGTTCTAGCGTTAACATCTGCGACAAAACTATATGACACTAACAAGGGAACGATCCCAACTCAAGGGGTGGCAAATTGGAATGAACCGCATATCATTAGATGCGCCTTTACGAGCTGATTTCAAATCTACCTTCCACATCTGCGATGCCGTTATCTGGAAAAAGTTATGAGCGGTTAAAAATGTGAAGTCATTGAGGTTTCAATGCATAATGTGCTTGAAAATCCAACTTGGGACTGTATGACTAACATGATATTGAGTGTACCTGACTTCAGAATGCTCACATTCAAAGGAAACACAAATAAGTGCCCCTGAACACTAAAAAATAACTGAAGTTCTTTGATAGAAACTTAGAGCAATGAAAAGTCCATATTTGGCAAATATACAACGCCATATCTCGAGAAATGGTTGGTCAAAAACACTTCTTTGTGTTTCCGTTGTATGTGAGTATTCACTGAAATCAGCACTCTCAATATCATGGTAGTCATGAACTCCCAAATTGGATTTCAAAGCATATTATGCCTTAACACCCCAATGACTTCACATTTTTAACCGCTCATAATTTTTTGCAGAGAACGGCATCGCAGATAGGGAAGGCAGATTTGGAATCAGCTCTCAAAGACGCATCTAATGATATGCGGTTCATTCCAATTCGCTACTTTAAGTTGGGATCGTTCCCTTGTAAGATTGTTGAAACTAACCTGAACACTTCAATTAGAGTGAATGGATCCCATTGAGCTCGTTAGACGAGCCCTTCGCTCAACCACATCCAGTTCCTTGAAAAACAAAGGATCATCGAAGTCTATGGTTAATTAATGAAAATAGTGTCTCCTTAGCTAATCTATGTTTTGTTCTCGAATGGTGCATTCATACGTTCTGAAGAATACCCAAGCAGAAAAAAGCATATATTTTTTTGGACAATTAACATTCCACTTGATCCTACCCTTGGAGCTCAATATGCTTCAGTGACAAAATGTGGATACGAGAAAGAACTGTTACCTGTGAGATCGGTTAGTGATAGGGCTCTGCACGGATAGTCCGACGGCACCGTTAGCATCACTTCCACATGGTTGACCACGCATCCGTAAACAAGCATCTAAATAACGAGAGCTGTACACTCAAACACCCTAGAAAAGCAAATAAATGATTTATTTGGTTTATGATTTCTACATCATTGCACTTACCTTCAAAACTTCTGCGAGGCACTTTCCCTGTACGTAATTGTCAGTTTGATGAAAATCTCTCGCGAGGTGGACTCTCCAACAGGATTGTACCTAAAGTTCGCATTTGAGCAGCAAGTTATTGGAGAGAAACATGTATGAAAAACTGTGCATTTAGCTGTCAGTAAAGCATAACAACGCTGTCACTGCTGGCAAACTGCTCAAACTGGGTGAAACTCCAACTCACTTTGTATTGAACTTGTCGAAGCGATGGAATGTATTTCTATCAGCGTGCACGTCCAGTATATCTACAGAGAGATCGTAGGCATCAACTCCCATTTTCTTAAACATTATTCACAATTATTCAACAACATTATTCATGGTAATAGGCTTGTTGTTCTGAAAATAGAGACACTTTTGATTTCCTTGCTAAAGTGAATAGAAAAGAAAATACAGTAGGCTACAGTACAGTAAGCTGTAAAATGCGAATAAACGCGATGGTGAGCGGATGAGCTGAGGTGAGCTACAACACAGTGAGAGTATGCAACTAAAGTCCTAAGTAATAAGATTGTGAACTATGTTGCCATGCAAGTCAAAATCCTATTGGATGAATCTGCGCTTAAGGGCTCTGCCAATAAAACACTCAATGAGTCAGTAGGGGAAGGATCAATCCAAGTATAAACGGAATCGATAACGCGAAGAAACACCTTTACCACTGATAAAAAATGGTTCCGATGAGTTTTTTCTCAGCGTTGACTCTGAAGCAGTTGTAAAGAGATAGAAACTGACAAAAACATCAATGAAAAACCGCAATGAAGAATGAAGAATGCGGATTTCAAAGCCTCGTGGCTCGCGCCCTTGATGTGTCCGCACTTTTTCGACCCTACCGTACCCCAATATTTTTAACGCTTTTCAGAGCCATGCGTTCAGCGCATAGGATTCAGAAAATCCACTATATCTTTTCTTAGAGGATGCGCTTTGGGAGGCACATGCTACTGCGAAGAGGGGAAGGATGGCTCAGTAGAATAGTTTAAAAAAGGCTTTCGTTTCAGCTTTTTGAAGGTAAGTCAATGGGGTGTGGCCCCTCCCCCCCCCCCTTAAAAGCTGTGGCAGCCACACCCCATTAACTTACCTTCAAACGATTTTTTTCAGACTTTTTATATATGGCTTGGAAGGTGAGACCTCGTACTACACACAGCAGAAATTTGAGCTGGATTGTTCTTCTCTAGCATAAATAAAGGTTGATGGAAGCGCAACCATTGAAATTTGTAGGTGGGACTTGGCAGTCTTCTGATTCCACAGCTTAGAGGTTTCTTGAAGTGGGTTTCTCATGCAAGGAAAGAAGGAGTAGTGCTTTGAATTGAGTGCAAGAAGAGGTAGCTTACTCACCTTCAAAATGGAAGTAATCATGTTTGAAATTATTGCTTCATACAAGCTCGTTTACTACTTGGAGACCTCAGAGTTCGCTGAAACTTGGCGCATAGGGGTTATCCGACATGCTAATTACGACAATTATACTTAATTAGCGGTACGGTAGGTTACGGTAGGCATACGGTATCTGCAAGTTCGTGCCATTGAATTTAGTTTTGCAGGACTTCAGCAGCGCTTTCGTCAATTCAATTTAGTTACACAGCTTGTACAGCGAAACTGAATCTCTTTTCTTCTGCATTGCATCTCTCATTTAAACAATCAGATCTTTTCAAACACAACCCACTGTGTAAACGGCAGCACAGAACGAAACTCAAAAACATTTCCAATGTAGCATCGTCATCATCATCATTATTGCCTGGTTTAGCATGGAAAAGATGGAACTTCTGCATTTATTCTAAGAACGCTTGCTGAAGAAATTCCTCCACCACCGCAAAGGCAATCGGAACAGTGGCTCAAAGGGCACAGAAGAAGGTTTGAAGTTTTGCCGCCCGACATGAGGGCCATACGTCAATTCGTTGTCGTTTACAAAGTAACGGCATTATTGGAGCTGTTATCCGAAAGGCCAGTGGATCAAATGGGACTCCGGTCGCTTTCTCGTTTGGGTGAACGACTTTTTGAAGTAGCCACAGGTGCGTTTAATGGAGCTTCTGGAGGGTATATCATAAACTACAGCGAGTTCCGCATCAGTACGCAGACAGGCAGCTCTTTCCGATTCGCATGCTCCAATGAAGTATGTCGTTCCCGGCATATTTTGTATGAGCACCACCTCAACAGGGCTGTGGTGCTCAAATACCCGAGGGCGCTCCTGCTAGACTTTTCCCCGGTGGGGACAACCTCGGCAGCTATGGCCATCGGACAAGTATGGCTAATGTTGCCGCTTCTGCCGCAAGCCATTCTACACCCGATAAGAGATTTCGGAGTGCAGGTGAACCTTAAAATGAGGGACGAGTATAACAACGAACAGGTTACTTTTGCTAAAAATCACATTAATTCTTTGTTTATTTGCATCACTCACATGTCTCGTATATTCTTATAATTGATTTCTCAGAAACGATTTATCTCAGGAACGACAACGCCGAACGATGCTGTATATCCTTGCATTATACGTTTCTACAACGACATGAAGCAGGCATTAGCCCAGCTCGTAAATAAGCCTTATGAATTCAATAATATTGATCTACCAGCATTGGATAAGCACATAATACTGGATATAATTGAATTTAACGGAGATTTTGAAAACGGTTTTGTTAACTATGTGCCGACAAACGCAAACTTTTACAACAGAGGATGCCCGAATTATTTTATCATGGAAGCCAACACACTTGATCCAAATCTTCGTCAAAAGCAAATTTTGGACTCCACTGAAGCATTTAGTCAGTTCTGTAACATCGCTGACCTCAAGGATAGCATGATTCGCTTTTATAATACTATACCTGCGTCAGTGCAAAGGTTCTCGAAGTGGGAATCAAACTTCAGAGAACATTCAGATAGTTTGTCGTTTTATCGAACGCTGCTACAGTACAGTAAGGAGCTGTGTCCCGGATGAGGTCCAGCAGGTATTAAATTTGCCGTCCCCTTTGACTACTGCAAAAGCTTCTTTTTAGGCCATAAAATGCGTTCTCATGCTCCCAGCAAGCAACGCCGATCCCGAGCGCAGTTTCTCTGCTGCTAACAGGCTCTCTAGATAGGAAAGGAGTAACATAAAGACGGAGTCTCTAGACAACATCATGACGTAAGCTCTGTTGGTGTAAGTGTGCTCCAACATCATTGCATGTTTTAGAGTGCAGCGTAATGGGCGTAGCATCCTAACAGTCAAACTTCAACAGTTATCACTCCAATGGATGCATCCTACACCGAACTTGGGTTGGATCCGGGTATGCCATCGAATCTAGCTAGAGGAGGCAGCCTCATGAAAGCAGTAAAAGAAAACCTTGCAAAAGGTTGGATTCACTTTATATTTTAAAGCTCAAAGCATTCTAAGCATCTAGGAGATGCATATGAGTTGGCAAAACTTCAGTAAGGCGCCACCTGGTGGTTCATGGCCTAAATGCCCGAAAGGACACAGACGAAATTAAGAACCGGTTGTTGCAAGAAGAACTTGCTAAGATGAACTTTTCTAAATCTGATCTTCTAAGAAAACAGACTGAACATCTTCACATCTGTACGACAATCCGCTTCATAAATCACTGTTCATTTTCTCATATTAGCGCATGCAACCGATAAATGTGTTTTTAAGAGTACATTCTCCACAGAAACCACAAAAACAATGTGCATTTGTTCCTCTTTTTCGACACAAGTCATTCAAATGTATCGTGCATTTGTATTGACAAAATCTTCACTTTCCCACACATCATCCGTTGGTCGTCACACCATCATCCATTCACTGCAAAAGCTGCTTTTCAATAATTTCTATTGAGAATACAACTCGTACCTAAACCAAGAGTCCATTTAGTATTTCTCTCAGTTACGTTGGCTGAGTTGTCAGAGGTAGTTGGGAAAGAGTGTGGCACATCTAAAAATTTAGTTACAGTGCTTTTCCGCTTAAAAACCGCTTTTGACCTTTGGTCGATACGCCCCCCTCCCTTACCTACCCCCCCCCTTACGACCCGCGGTGTGGCGTGCCACACCCCCGCTTTGCCCTGGTAATCGCGTTAGACCTTCATATTCGGGTTTGGTAAGAGAATTGTGCTCTCTAATATTTCGTCAGATTTCCGAGTGAACATTTTACGGGTTTCTGCTTTCCCCTTTGAAACGGCATCCAACGTGTGAACGCGCCACATCTGCCGAGCCCTGCTGGTGACATCGTTCAACAGGTCTTAACACATTGACGACAACGTGACCCACATGGTGAGTCATGCAATGACTGCCACGTGAGACAGTGTGACCCCCATGGTGGGTCACGGCATAAATTTTTTTGAAATAATAACAATTACTGAATGCATCCGTTTCCTGAGGTCTTTTACGCTCTAACCCTAGAAAATACTTGACGTTTCTTGGCCGCTTTCAAGAATTTGTGTAGGTATAGTTAAAATGACAACTTGCTTGATCTTAGCTAGAAATTTTCGACTCGTTCGTGGAAGGCATCTCCCACAGGGCAGACAACTAAAAATGCGCGTTGTCCTCAACGTGTTAACAAGTTTCCCTCTCAAAGGATCTTCACCTGATGGACTTCTTGCGTTTCTGAGAAAAACACATATATTAGGTCATTCCGAAAGTAATTTCGCTTTTTTCAAACGGGCGTCACATGTGATGGAACAAAGGTTTCTAAGAGATCTTGATAGCATTCTATGCAGCATTTCATTCTCTTTCTAATGGATATGAGATTGTTGCAAAACAGTTCAATGAGCTTTCAGAAAATAACCAAAATCTGCGACCCATGCTTTTAAAGATGGTCAAGTTTCACGATTTTTTTTGAAACTTTTATATCAACCCTCCGAAAAAGTGCAAATAACGCCTTCATAGCGCAAACCCTACAATATGCGAAACTACTTTTTTCTCCTTTCCATGGCTTGTCATACATTTTTAACAGAATTTCAACTGATGCTACCGATTTCCATACTTGAGCAGCTGAATCCTCGTAGAACATCAAAAGAAAGGCAGCTCGCACACTATTCGATGCAGCATTTTTTTTACTTTCTAATAGGGTTTTTTGTTTCCGATTCGTTTAGTATCTTGGGAGAAATCATTATAATTCATTTTTTTGCGAGCCCCAGGCTGTACCCGAAAAACTCAAAATTTGATATTTCGAGCCCGTAAACCCTCACTTGCTTTGTAAAATTAATGCTAACTCATAGTACCATCTTGGTAGTCTCAAATTCCGAAAAATTATGATGTTTGATGCGATTGTGGCTGAGGTGGGCCCTGCCAAAATCCGATAGTTCTGTTAAAAAATCTAAAAAATATTACGGCGAGCTATGAGGAAAAGAAAAAAGTAATGTATTCTATAAGGTTTACTCTATCGAATCGTTACTTGAACTCCTTCTGAGGATTGATATGAAAGTTTTGAAAAATCGTGAAACTTGATCATCTCAAATAGCATGGGTCACAGATTTTGGTTATTTTCCGAAAGCTCATTGACTATCTGCAATAGTTTTATAATCGTTAGAAAGAGGACGAAATTCTGCATCGAATGTTTCCAAGACCTTCCAGAAACCTTTGTTCCATCACATGTGGCGTCCGTTTGAAAAAAGCGAAATTACTTTCGGAATGACCTAATAGTATTTTTTGTCCACTTATACTTTTTTTTCTAAGAGTTTTCTTCATGGAAACTCCAACACTTTGGTGCATAGCAATCGCAGGGCCACCTTCAAAAAAGCAACAATAGTAACCTGAGATCTATAGGTCCATCTGCTTTGCGGCCAGCAAAGTGTTCGAGAGGAATTTGCAAACAAATTTGCAAAAATAGCAAAAATAACCAACTACTAAATGCAGCACAACATGAATTTTTACCTAAAGAATCTACTTGACGTCTTTCATCTTCACAGTATCAGTATGGCATGTGATAATGAAGGAGAAAGGATTCATTACCACTGCTTAGATTACAAGAAAGCTTTCGACTCAGGTGATTTAGAGCTACTTTTAACAAATTAACACGTTTCGGACCGCGAAATCGCGCGCTGCGAAAAGAGGGTACTTTCAGCCGTTAGCCAACAAAGAGACCTTAATTCGTATACTATGTACTATCTCTGTAATCAGTATGTCAGATAAGATTCATACCCAAAGTTCTGAGTGAATTCGAAGTTTTTGAATTTTGTCGCCGGAGAAGCACTTCTGTGCTTTCCTGAAAGACTGGAACAAGAACTCAGTTTCTAATTGTATCCAAGAGTATCTATGTTGTACACGATACACATCATTATTGAAGCTATGGTTTTTCTCCTTGAATTCGAAGCAAAGAGAAGTTGCGACGTCGCACGCGTCGTTCGCGTTGCCGCCATTCGTTGCAACTGTTGTTTGGTTTGCGCTTATATCTCCCAAACAAATATGGGCGGCACAATTCTACAGAGTCATTTGAGAAGTAGAAGTTTAGGACTTTGACTTGATAACCTTGGACAAAAAGAAAACCTCCTGCAAACAATAAAAAAATCCTTGAAAGGCGCGTGCTGCACCATGTGCAGCACCGGTCCGAAACGTGTTAAAAGCGTATGTATTAGGTTGTAGAGGAAGTTTTCTGGCACTTGTAAATTCTTTTTTCAGACTGATGCTGAGGTGTAAGTCAAGCAGACTGATCCTTTTTGAAAGCTGGAAATTCTGCTGCAAAAGCAAAGTTGTCTATAGACGTGCTTGTTTTATTGAGCCCTCAGCACTTCATTTCGGGCCACCAGCATGCGGAATAGGGAAAAGGTCGACTTGAGAATTGGCCTGTGATATCTGAAGCACCACCAGCAAAAATCTTTTTTGAATAATTTGAAAATTCGGCCATTTTCGTACCCTGAAAATGCCATTTTTTGATCGAATAAGGAACACTCTCTTTTTCTCGTGGAATGAATCAGACACCTCATATTCAAAGTAAGCAACCTTTAAATGGTCTTCTTTGTTCACTGCGAAAAAAATGGCAGCAATAAGGAAAATTATGAAATTTCCATTGTTGCACAGACCTCCTTTTTCGTGTGCGTGTGTCGAATACTGCCGAACATCCACAAAAACTGGATGCAACTTTGGAATGCTTAGGCTTTTTTCTATAGAGCCATATAAAAAATTTGTTGTTAAGATCCAACCGAGTGCGATAAGATGTCTAAAAATGAATTTTCCAAAATTGGCCGGGAATTTGCAATCTAATAATAGGTGTTTCATGAAATTGCTCAGATTGCTCATATCTAGCTGGTCGTACTCAAGTTATAATCAACAAATTCTAATCTTTTAATATCGAATAAGCAGCGGAGTTCCTCAGCGAACCTGCTTAGGGCCTCTCGTGTTTTATTTTACATAAATAATTTGCCATTCATTTGTGCAGATGATATCAACCTTTCTGCTATGAATCCCTTTAACTGCAAAATGCTTTAGATGCGGGGAAGAATGGCTGAGAAGGGGAGCTTGATATATCAGTGCAGAAAACACGTATTATGCGTATAAATACCCAAGGTCCTGCACTTATAAAGTTGGCAATTGAGGTACGATTGACAAAATCATAAAAGATCTTGTCATTACCTGCTCAGAACCTCAACACGTTAAATAACTAAATTACAAGAACTGCTAATGCTCGATGTACCCTAATTTCACAAGTAGTTACATGACGCACCTGTTTTTTTTTAAATTCGACCAGAATGAAAACACGCCAAAGAACCTCGCGACCGAAAGACCCTATGCAATGCTGTGTGTTGCCTGAGAGTATCGTGCGACATAACTTTTTCCCGAAACAGAGGCGGCTGAGCGGCTTGCTTAAAAAATCGAAAAAGATGCGTCTTGTGAGCCGTCCCTTGTTTCATACAGGTCAAGACTTTCTATGTCTGTCACCACCTCCTCAAAACTTGGGAGAACAATCTTATTACTAAGAAAGATTAATTCTACAATGCAACTTGCACTATCTAATTTATGCTACTACCAACATGG